TGTCCTACTGAAAAAGGGAACTGAGTGATCAGGTCTTTGCAATAAATGCACAATCTAAGAAAATAAACTTGTGCAACTTCTCCAATGAATTGGCTTGGTTTCCTCTGTCAGTTTCATCAGGGCTGCTGTCTCTAGTTTGCTTTTATCTTTACCATGCACAAAATAGTACGTATGAAAAATTCATTTCCTGCAATGGGTTCCAGTTCAATTCCTGCAACTCAATAGGAGACAAGGAAAAACTCTTGTTTTTGGAGCCCTGCCCCCCCCCCCCCCCCCCCCAAGAAGCACAGGAGCTAAGAATAGCCAAGCAGGTAGTGTTTGTAAAGTCTGCAATTTTTTTTTACAAAAGTGCTGATCTAATAAGGCTGAGGCAAGTTTGTGGCTGCTCCGTATAATGTTGTTCGTGGGTTGTATTTTTGCCTCCTGCTTTCCTCCAGCAAATACAGTAGGATGTCTGAAGCAGAAAGATAACAGTTGCTAGGGGAGGTCTCCAATAGCTTTCTGGATAGCCTTGATGTTGTTTCCTTGTGGTTTTTCTTTGCCTGGGATCTCCCATTGCTCAGCAGCAAGACTTAAACTACTATAAGAATGAAGAGAGTAATGGAGCTGGATGAACATTATAAGGTAGGCTGTAAAGGTTGGCTTGGTGTGCAATTTGAAGTTACAAACCGGTAGCTGTGTCCCCCAAGAAAGAATTCCTGGGACATTTACCTTCATCCTATCAACAGAATGTTGAGCCCTTCTGTAGAGTTAGCAATTTTGACTTCAAATTCCTAGCTAAAGCCTCATCAGTTCATGGGAGATAATGGGATAATTTGAGGCCTGTTTCAGCCAGCATGAATAATAGGACCTCATGATAAATATATTGTAAAATGTTAATATGTTGTTTTAGAAGCTAGGAAACAAAAGTGTGACTTGAGGCCCATACTCAGCAGCATTGGACAGCTATCCAGGTCCCACAGATAACAGATGGCCCATCAAGCTGAGAACTAAACTAAATGCAGTTCCTAATCCACCCCCAAGCCAGCCTCTTCCCAGTACTGTATTTGGGGAACAAGCAGAGAAGGGGTGTGGAGTAGACCTCTGCCATAGACCAGATAGTGTGACCTTGGGGCACGTACATCAAAATATAATTTTTCCAAAATATAGAAGCATTGGCATACAATCAAAAGTTGCATTATTCTACTGCTGACAATTCAGGTGAATATGTTGGTAAAAATGTTGAAGACAAAGGTTCTGATGTCTCACTGAAAGCTTGTTTGCAAATGGTATTTTGGAAATGTTAACAACTGGTAAACAAAGGGTAATGCTGTGTTTTTTCCAAGCAATGCCTATATAGATTGGAAGAAAGGTGAGCAGGATTACCTTTTTTTCTTTTTTGGTGAGTATTTGTGTGCGTGTATGTATGTATGCCTGGAAGTCATGGCTGACTTCTGGCAACCCCTAGTGAGGCTCAGACGTTTCAGAGAGGTGGTTTACTTCCTCTGCGTCCCAGTCCTGGTATTCCTTGGAGGTCTACCTTCAAAGTACTTGGCAGGGTTGGCCCTGCTTAGTTTCCAAGACCTGATGAGATCGGGCTTGCCTGGGCTACCCAGGTCAGGGTGGTGAGCAGGATTCCCTGATATTCTAGTATGTCTAATTATCTACCACAATTTGATCCTAATGTTGGTGGAGTATTTGAGATACTTATGCAGGGTATCATAGGTTTTGGAAAGGGATGGGGGATCTCATGGTTTCATAGCTGGTTTTAGCAAGCACCTGAATTGTCACATCTAAAGAAGGCAAAACTTAAGAAGTCTTTTTTTTACTGTGTGAAAATTCAGGTTTGAAAAGGGATTAAATTATGTTATGTAAATTAGTTCCACAAAATATGTGCAGAAAAGTATATTAGTCACATAACTGCAGTGATCACATGGCAGCTTAGTTTTGCTTTTGCTATTCAGCTGTCATGGGTACAACTTGGTTACCCACATGACTTCAGGACCCATCGGTGATAGTATGAATTGGCCGTCAGCCAGACAGGAGGTTTAGTAGGAAGAGAATCTAATGTAAGCTGCTCTACAAAGGCCTTGTTCCCTTAATGATAAATATATGGTCTTTGATGTTCTGTTAACACAGTTCTTTATAACCAGTATCTTTGGGTAGGTTTGCATAATATTTTTTTAATTCACACTAGCAGGGCTGACTTGTATATTCTCTCACATGACGCCTTGCTCGGGTGTAAAATAGTTGGGCAGTTCCTGGAGATATGGGGGCAGGGTATGTGGAGGGGAGAGGCCTCAGTGGGTATAATGCCAATAGAGTCTAAAAAAAGCAATCATTTTCTCAAGGGGAACTGATCTCTGTAGGCTGGAGATCAGTTGTAGTTCTGGGTGATCTCCTTGAAGTTGGGAACCCCATGTGCTGGGAGAGATTCAGACCGTGCTCTTGGGTTCTGCTCCTGACCTCCTTGAGTTCCATACATACATCCAAGTGGATTTCATGTGGACAAAAATTTATTGTCTTAAATGGCCTTTAACTCTAGCTATTCACTGTGGAATGCTTTCTTAGTACTGCATGGAAAAATCAACATTTCTCAAGAATGTTCCTACTGTACGGGATCTTTCCGTGAAAACAGTGTTGAAGTGAATTCTTCAGAATATATTTTACTTTTGGCATATCTTCATAGCTATTCATATGGCACTTCAGTTTGCATTAAAAATCAATGAGTGACAAGTTCTACTTTTTCAGAAAGGAAAGCAGTGATCCCTAGGGGCCTTGTGTTCAAAGATGGGAGACAACAAGCAGTGCTATTCTAAGCAGAGTCACATGCCTCTAAACTCACTGATCTTATGTGTAACTGTTCAGGATTGCACTGAAGCAGGGTTGCTAGATCTTCACGATGCGCTGGGGGTGGGTGGGAAGGGAGCCTTCTGGGAGTGGCGTGGGGTTCCACCACAAACAGCCATGTCGCACCACAACGCCCCCAATGCAGTGACGTCACATGGAAGTGGCATCAACATGTTGAGTGGCAACGCTCTGACTTGAGGGCAAAGCTCTGTGGTAAAATTACCCTCAAACCATAGAGATTTGCCCCAAACCCAGAGCATCGCTGCACAATGTCCCTGATGGGATGATGTCATTTTGTCAGGGCCATTACTGCATGACGTTGGTGTTTGGGGGTGGAGGGGAGGGTGGCAGCAGGCAGAAGCCCCCCAAAAAGCAAAGGAGCCCCCGCCCCCACCTGAGGAATGGGAGCCCTACACTGAAGGCTTGATAGATTCTGGAACAACTTTGTGTGCACACCAGGCCTCTGGAAGGCAAGAGGCTTCTCAAATTCTTAATGATATCATTAGTAATATAATTATCCTTTTTTTGAAACTCCAGTGTCAGTGAGCCTGCTACAGGATTACTTCGTCTGAGTGAAATCAACACAAAGAAGGCACATAAAATAAGGTTGCCTACTCTAGCTCCTTGGAGATTTCCAGGTGGATCCTGGGGAGGGCAGGGTTTGGGGAGAGGAGTTACCTCAATGGGTAACGCCACAGAGTCCACCCTCCAAAGCAGCCCTTTTCTCCAGGGGAACTGATCTGTGTAGTCTGGAGATCAGTTGTAATTCCAGGAGATCTCCCGGCCCCAACTGGAGGTTGGCAACCCTACATAGAACCACCTGACGCATATCTTAAGAGAAATTCTCAATGCTACTTTCAGTTTTGCTTATGACTTTGTACATTGCTTGGTACAAAGTTTGACTCTCTGTTTTCTAATTTTCTTTGCTTGAGCAGTTTGATCAAGCCGAATGCAAAATGCCATGAATCAGTCTTCATCTGATCAGTGAAGGGAAAGCAAATCAAGGGAACAATTCACAGATCACTGATGAATTAATCCAGCGAAAGTCATTAAACCATAAAGAAGAAGAAGAAGAGATTGGATTTATACCCCGCCCTTCACTACCTAAAGGTGCCTCAGAGCGGTCCTTTCCCTTCCCCTCCCCACAACAGACACCCTGTGAGGTAGGTGGGGCTGAGAGAGCTCTTGACAGAAACTGCTCTTCTTCAAGAACAGCTGTGCCAGAGCTACAGCTTGCCCAAGGTCATCCAGCCAGGTGCAAGTGGAGGAGTGGGGAATCCAACCCGGTTCTCCCAGATTAGTTTTTTCCAGGTCTTAACCAGATTGTTGATGACTTTTAGATTTCTAAATAGAGTAAAAAATTCAACATCCATCTGCTCATTTGTTCGTACCAGTTCAGAGTTTCGCTAGGGCTTGCTCAAGCTTTGAGTTCATTGGTAGAGTAATTAATTAAAGCTTTAGCTGCAGATTAAAGTAGGCCTCCAGTTAATTTGGGGGCTGAGATAGAAGGATACACTTCCATGTTGGATATGCTCGCTAGCTTTTCCTTTTCTGCGCAGAATGAGAAAGTAACATATAACTGGGTTTATTCTACTGATTTGAATTAAAAGATACCAGGACTTTTGCTTTTGTGTGAAACCACTATGCCTTTCCCATTAACAATAAGGAACTGCAGGAAGCTAAAGCAGATGGGACCAGCTGAGATCAAAGCTAATATATTTAAATCTGAATTTTCCATAATAGTGATGGCATATGAACATTTCTTTTACATAATTTGCTCTAGCGTGTTAGGGAATGGTCTGAATTCCATATTGTTGAAAAAGAAAATATTCAATACAAAGTTTCCTTTTAACTGTTTTTGTTTATTGGATTGTCAACTTACTGTTTAAAGAGTGGCATGTTTTGGTAGCATTCACATTCATATGCACTGTATGAAGTAACCAAATGAAAACCAGAGGATTATTCAATTAAACATCTGTAATCCAATGACATTCTTCTTATTCTCTCATTACTCATCTCCATATAGTTTACTAGTCTCAGTAATTCATCAGCATTACTTTCTCCTTTGCCATCCTTGTCCATCTATCATTGCAACAGTGTATACAGGAAAAAAGACTCTTTATCAGAGCCTTTCCTAATATCTTTCCATGCTCTGTCTTTTCCCCCCACAGTTGGATAAAGGGGACACGAGTCAGCTCAGTCTACCTTCCAACACAAGCCATGGTGATGCTGATGGAAACATCTGCCTTGATGTTCCAGATGGCAACCCAGACCCACAGAGGACAAAAGCTGCCATTGACCATCTTCACCAGAAGATCCTCAAGATCACTGAGCAGATCAAGATTGAGCAGGAGGCACGAGATGACAATGTGGCTGAGTATCTGAAGCTTGCCACCAATGCTGACAAGCAGCAGGCCTCTCGTATCAAGCAGGTCTTTGAGAAAAAGAACCAGAAATCAGCTCAGACCATTGCCCAGTTGCATAAGAAGCTTGAGCACTACCACAAAAAGCTAAAGGAAATTGAACAAAATGGACCCTCACGCCAGCCCAAAGATGTCTTCCGGGACATGCATCAGGGCCTCAAGGATGTAGGGGCCAATGTCCGCTCCAGTATCAGTGGCTTTGGAGGAGGTGTGGTAGAAGGTGTCAAGGGTGGACTGTCAGGCCTTTCCCAAGCCACACATACAGCTGTGGTCTCTAAACCTCGTGAGTTTGCAAGCTTAATCCGCAACAAATTTGGCAGTGCAGATAACATTGCTCACTTAAAGGACACTTTGGATGATGGGCACCCTGAAGAGGCCTCACGAACTCTCAGTGGCAGTGCCACCTTAGTGTCAAGCCCTAAATATGGCAGTGATGATGAGTGCTCCAGTGCCACTTCTGGCTCAGCAGCAGGTAGCAACTCTGGGGCAGGCCCTGCTGCTTTAGGCAGCCCCAAATCTAACACCTTGGAGAGTCACCACTATAATTTTGATACCATCATAGAAGAACTGCGGGAGATAAAAGACATTCAGTCACACCTTGAGGATTCCATGGAAGACCTCAAAACCCAGCTGCAACGAGACTATACTTACATGACTCAGTGCTTGCAAGAGGAGCGTTACAGGTAGGCCGTTGTACATTGTCATCCTTCTCCCAAAAGGGGAACTATTTGTTGCATAAAGTCTTCGTTTTTTTGAATTGTGGACCAGGATTTGTTGGCCTGCCTTTAGTTTGTGGATCTAACAAAGGGTCATGCTGTGGATGAAGCATATAAAGATATTGATATGGGATTAGGTTTCACACTCAGCTGGCAAACTGATTGACAATGCATGTCCCTTTATTTAAAAAACAAACAGGCAACAAGGAGGGAGTCCTATTTATGCCCTAACTCTAGCAGTTTTATTGGGAGCCAGAAAAGCTTCTGGGACATGAGAAGTTGTGGGATTAATTATTCTTTGGCAGGATCACTAGACTGAGAAATGAGATTAAAACTCAATACACACTTAAACAGAAATGTAATATTTCTTCATATAAGCCAGAGAGCTATTAATCATAGATTCTAGCTTCTGGTGTAAGATTATTTTTTTAAAAATACTAAAAATCAGATTATTTGAATTATATATTTAATGTACATTTTATTACATTTACCATACATTATATAATACATTTTATTAGGACCAACCAAAATAGTGTTCATCATAAAACAATTTGAATGCACACAAGTTTTCTTATAGCTCAATCTTAAACCCAGTGCATCACCACCAACAACTCAGTGCCAGCACAGCTAGTTGGTATCCTATGCTTTCTCAGCAGAGAGAAAAAAATAACAAAAATGACACACACACCCCAATGACATGGCAGCATGGCAACTGCACTGGGACACATAGCAAAACCACATCCTCAGTAAGAGAGCATTTATACTTCTAGATTCCATTTAGGTTGTACCTAGTTGCAAACAAAAATGCTCTCATTGCTCTATAGTCACCAGTTTTTATGCATATGTATTCAGGAAATACAGAAATTTCAACATGGGAAATTTGACTTGGAGTCAGTGATTTTACACCAGCTTTCCCCCCCCCCCCCGGTCTTGGTTTAAATTAGTCCTCCTTTCCTATGTTTTGTGAAGAAGTCTACTGAAATAACCTGTACTATGAATTCTTCTAAAGAAAGACACTGCATTATAAGACACAAGAGAAAATGCATTCCTAGCTAAGCACTCAAGGCCAGTCTCATAATCTCTACTTAATGATTAAGATAAAGACCAGAGTCCAAAGGATGCTTTTGCTTAGAGAGACTTAGATTAAAAAATGGGAACCCGCAGTACTTGTGAGGGGATCCCTTCTCCTCTTCCTTTATTTCCTCCCCCCCCACCATCACTGCAGCCAGGTCCAGCGCAGCTCCCAGCCTCTGCCACCAGCCCTCCGATGCTTCTCCCCCCACCCACTGTCCAGAATGACAGCAGCAAGCCCAGCGTGGAGCAGCTGGGACCACCGAAACTTTTCCCTACCCCCTAATGCCAGCGAGCCTGGCCACAGGTCCTGGTCTCTGTTGCCAGACCTGCTGAAGCGTCTGCCCTCCCACCATCAAGGAGGAAAACAGCAGCAAGCCCCACATGCCTCCCAGCTGCCAGGCCCACTGAGGCTTATTTCCCCCTCCACTGATGCCAGCAAATGCTGTGCAGGTCCTTGCCTCAGCTGGACCCACCAAACCTCTCCCCCCCCACACACACCATCAAAGATGACAGCAGCGAACCCTGTGTGGCTTTTGGAGCTACTGAGGCTTGATCACCACCACCACCATCAATGACGCCAGTGAGCCTTATGCAGGTCTGGCCTCTGCTGCCAGGCCTACTGAAGCTCCCCCCCCCCCATATACACACACCATCAAGGAGGAAGATGGTGGTGAGCCATCCAACAGAGGAGGAAGTAGGTTCTTCGTCTGCACATGCTCAGACAATGAATGGGTTTTGTGAGGGGAATTTAACCCCCCCAATGTATTTTTTTTAATTCAGATTTTTCTGCAAACTTGGGGAGTATCCCAAGTTTGCATAACTATCTATTTTGGGTAAACAGATGCGTAGATTCTAGCCAATAAGGAAAGCTAGAATTTTGTTTTCAAAGTATTTTTATGATAATATCCTCACTGTCCCAATCCAAGGACTTGGGAAGACCAAACTAGATATGACGGGGAGAATGGTCACCCCAAATGACAGGGGAAAGTGATATATGTGGAGATTTTCCACTGATCCAGCACCACTGTCACAAGAGAAGATTCATATATGTATCACAGTGGATGGGTTGTGAATATATGTGACAGATTATGTTTATATTTGATTTTCATGTTGTGCTTTGATGGTTAATTTTTTTCCCCAAGCTGTTTTTAGAAGCTGGGAAATACCATGTACGTTATCAATGATCGCATGGAAAATAGAATTCTTCCTTCCCAAAGCCAGTCTTTATCACATACTGCTCCCATTCCCATTGTTTTTTATTCATCCCCATTTGTATCTTTTTAGGCCCTTAAAAAGACAGTTATGAAACCTCTTCAAATATTATGAAGTACACAGGTTGGTTCTGGGGTTCCCCCCCCAATGCCAGATGTAACACAGTTACACATGAGGTATGGGTTCTCCTCAGTTCCTGTATGTGCAGTAGCTAAGTAGGATCACAACCATAGTGCACATAGAGAAAGGGTCTTTTGGACTGTTCTGAACCAAAAACAGTCCTGGGGGTGCTATTGGGCTTTTGGGGAAAGCCCACATGTGTCCCAAGGGAACCCCATGGTATCTTGAAATTGCTGGGGCTGTTTCAGGTGGGGAAAATAGTACAGGGTGAAAAGATTAGAACCATGGTCCATAGTTTAATATGGCACCATAGGCATGGGATTTGGGGACAACCCACAAATAATGACTGGTATTATTTTATCTGACACAGGATAGAGACCTGTGTACTCCATAACGCCAATCTACAGTCCTATGTAATTTACTAAGAAGTTCCTGCCAACCTAGCAGTTCGAAAGCAAGAAATTGCAAGTAGATAAATAGGTACCACTTCGGTGGGAAGGTAACAGCGTTCCATGCGCCTTGGTGTTTAGTCATGCCGGCCACATGACCACGGAAACGTCTTCGGACAGCGCTGGCTCTTTGGCTTTGAAACGGAGATGAGCACCGCAACCCTAGAGTCGGACTCGACTGGCTTTCGAGCAAGGGAACCTTTACCTTTTTAAGTGCCACCGAATGCACAGAATCAAGATGTCAGATGTGTAATGTTTGGTTAACTATGAACTGTGTAAGGGTAAATCCACACTGGTCAATTCTGGCATCTTGCAGTCTGCATCTGAAATTATGCCTATTACCAGACTTACTAATGTGAACTTGTGTACTTTATAGACTGTTCAGTACTGTCTCTAAGTGGTAGCAGTGGTGATTTGGATAGACATCTCATGTTTTTTCATCTCTGTTATTGTCCTATTAGTCTCCCTTCAATTTTAAAAAAGTGTTTTTGCCTCATAATAGGTCCATTCCTTTATGTATCTGTGCAAATTTGGCATGGTTAAGAGAAAAATGACCCTTACTCCCAAATGAAAATAGCAGCCTGTTTGTTATGAGAGGTAGGTGGCAGTACCGAAAAAGGTACACTGCTCAAGACATTCTGCAAGGGGAAGAAACAGTGTTGAGAAACAAAATAATTCAGGCTGTAATTGAGCTATGCCTGTGTGGATGCAGCCTACGAAAATTGCTGATGCTCTTTGCTGGCTCTTTTGCTGACTTAATCAATAAATGAGGTGGTGGCTTTGATTCAGTTGTTAAATAGTGCAATTGTCCCTAGGCTATTCTTCATGATTTCTCTTCAAGGCACATCTGCCATCAAATTATTTTTCTTGCAGCTATTGGCTGATTGCCAGCTAAATGTGATACCTGATCCTGTTTCTTACCAGCACCTTCTTAAGAGATTACTTGCACATGTAAATCATAAATAACACCACAGATAGATCTTTTCATTTTTCACTCCACATCATAGATGAAATGTTTGATGAGTGAGTTCATTCAGGGTCAAACTGTTAATTATATTCAAATAGGTATATAACTAAGCTCAAGAGCCTACTGTCAGGCATCTTTGCTTCAGGTGCCCCTGCCATCTGAGACTAGATGAGTGGCAACCTGTGGAAGGGCTTTCTTGACTTTTGGCATCAAAACTTTGGAACTCCCTCTCCATGGAGATTTGTCTGTGTCCCTCTGTCATTGTCTTCCACCAGCAAGTGAAGACTTTTTTTCCATTTGGAATATCCCCAGCAAACTTATTGACCCTTATCCCTGGTGGTGTTGCATTTGTAAATTTGTATGTTTTTATTACATTTTAATTTACATATGCAGTTTTAATGTTTTAAACATTTTAATGCCTTGATGTTTGCCGCCTTGGGGGCCCTATTTTGGTTGAAAGGCAGCACAGAAATGTTTTAAATAAAATGATATATAATAAATTTTATGATTCCCCTGGCACTTTAAAGAAAAAATATGGTAAAGAGACAGTTCATGGGATGCTTCCTTTACTGCTGTTTTTGACTTGCTATTTGCTTACAAGTGCTGATCTTTTTGCTTGATTCAATAGCTTAATTACGGGTGTTGGTCCGTAGGTTTGTATTACCCATTCAGGTGCCTGATTTTTCAGCAAGTATTGTGGTCTATGGTAAGTGCAGGAATGATACTCATGCACTGTGTGCTATTACACAATGTTAATTCTGATCCATATTATCTCTGATCTCTCAATAAGGTGCCTGAGGGGGTGGATGGAGAGGCCCTGGATGACTCATTGTATGTCCGATTGTAATTCCTTATAGGGCTCCTCTTCTGTCCATGGTCAAAGTTATAGCAAAACCCCAAAGGGGTCCTGAGAGGCTGTGGCAGAGATATATCAAAAAAGTCAAAAATCTTGGAAAAGTCATCAAGTACTCTTACTACCTTATATGATCCTTTGTCTAGATCTCTTATCCGGGACCTTTGGCCGGGCTGTTTATCCATGCATTTTCTTGTATTGTTTGAGCTGAAGGCAGTACTAAGGTTGGAGCAGTTTGTATTTGGTAATTCCATCAGTATTGCCATTTTCATTGTTGAAATCCTTTAACATCTGTAGCTCTTTGTCAATCAGCTTTGGCTTTTGGATAACAAAGCGGTCGATGAGAGCTCCGAGCCCCATAAGGGTAGAAATATTAACTTCTCAAAATGATGCAATATTGCATTGCTGCATGAAATACTGCACCGCTCAGTGTTCTCATCTGCTGCATATTATGTCCTTTCCCCTGCCACACAGATATGAGCGCCTGGAAGAGCAACTGAATGACCTGACAGAACTTCACCAGAATGAGATGACCAATCTCAAACAGGAACTGGCTAGCATGGAGGAGAAGGTGGCTTACCAATCCTATGAGAGGGCCAGGGACATTCAGGTATGGGAAGACATGGGTTGCTTGCACTGTCACTACGTAAACCCCTCTGTTTGTGATTTATGTATTAATTACACATCTCATACTCTTTTCCCAGAGAGCTTAGAATAGCTTTCATATAGATTTCAGGAGGTCTCCAGTTCAACCAATGAGATTTGAGCCCAGTAGCACCTTTGAGCCAGTATGACAGCTTCATATGACTGATTTGAAAGGGCAGGGCTGTGACTCAGTGCTCCAGCATCTGCTTTGCATGCAGAAGGTCCTGGGTTCAATTCTCCAGTTCAAATGGAGCAGGTGGTAGGAGATGTGAAAGACCTCTGCCTGAGAACTTGGAGAGCTGCTGCCAGTCAGAGTAGACAATACTGGTCTAGATACACTATTGGCCTGACTCACAGTGCGGAAGCTTCATGTGATCAGGTTTGTAGATGACATAGGCTTGCCAAGCCCCCCCGGGGGGCGGCGGGATCGGGCCCCGGGGGGAACTCCACCCCGACGTGCACGTCACCAGAAAGTGACGCGACCACGCCGGGCACGCTGGGGGTGGGGCCACAGTCATCCGAGGGAAAACTCTATGGTCGACCCGGGAGTCCCCCGCTTCAGGACAAGGTATGACTTAGCAACCCTAAGATGACACCATGAAATACGTTTAAAGTAGCCTTTGAATGATCTCCAGGCCTGTCCCAGCCATGTCTCTTCCTTCATAAGTATCAGTGGCACTTTGGTGCTCCACGCCCATACTAGACAATGTTGTTTCAGAAGCACAGTGCAATGCTAGTACACTGGTCACATTGTTTTTTGATGGTGCAATGTTTTATAGGCTTGAACAATATGTATCTTAATGGAAATGGGCATAGGATACTCAAGTGCAAATCCTTGGCCATGCTTAATGCTTACCTCATTCTTAGCCTAATCTATTTTATAGAGTTGCTGTGAAGGGTGAGGCACTTTGAATTGTGAAAGTATAAACATTGTTATGAGGAAAGGGCAGATTTAAAATAATTCTGCATTAGGCAAATGAACGCCGTGTCCACTGAGTTCTCTCTCCTTTTGAATATGTCTACATCCTGCTCTTCCCTAGGTCTCCTCTCCAGATTACTGACCAGTTCCATATTTGCTTAGAGTCAGTAATGCTCCCATGATGGCTGTTTCCAATGAATTCACGGGCTGCATCTTCCTCTGGGGTAGCCAGCAATCTGGTGAAAAAAATGACCCATCCTTTAATGGAGGTTTCATGTGTGGAAATCAGCATTTGAAGTTTTCCAAGGCACTGATGTAAATAACATCACCTGGTAAATTACACCCATTAAGTCTCTGTTAATGGGATGGGACATTTTTTTCTCTAGACGGTTGACAACCCTACTTCTCCCACACAGTCACTAAGATTTCTTTCTTGGAATAAACCTTTGGAAGGTAGTAGTGGTACAACTCAGTATCGTGCCACTCACTGCCATGTCCTCAGTTGTGGAAGGTCCTGGAGACCTAGCAGATGTTTGCTGGCAGTATAGTGCAAAGATTTCTACCTTCCAAAGCAGGAGATGCACCATAGATGTCCTGAGACCCTGTGTGGTGTAGCAGTTAAAGTGTCAGACTAGGATCTCAGAGGTCCGAATTCAGGTTCCCTCCTAATCTTGTTGAATTAGCTTGGCCTGCTCTCTCTCTCTCTCTCTCAGTCTAATCTCCTTCACAGGGTTGTTATGAGGAGCAAATGGAGAAGAGAGATCTATGTACACCGCCCTGAGGAATAGCAGGATGAGAGTATACAATAGAAAAACATTGTTAACATTGGTCCAATCCCTCCCCCCCCCCCCCCCCCCCCTGTTCTCCCAGGAAGCTGTGGAATCCTGCCTGACCCGCGTCACCAAGCTAGAGTTGCAGCAGCAACAGCAGCAGGTGGTGCAGCTGGAAGGCGTGGAAAATGCCAATGCCCGAGCCCTGCTGGGCAAATTCATCAATGTCATCTTGGCCTTGATGGCTGTGCTGCTGGTCTTTGTGTCCACTGTTGCCAATTTCATCACGCCCTTGATGAAGACCCGCATGCGCCTCCTGAGCACCACTTTGCTAGTGATTTTTCTCTTCCTCCTCTGGAAACACTGGGACTCCATCACTTATCTCCTGGAACATGTGCTGCTTCCTAGTTGATTCCTCTGCCAGCCAGATGCCAGGGGTTGTGGGGTATTTGCTTCTTCCTGCGGAGAGGGGGCGGAAACAAGGAGGCTTCCAACTCAGTTTCTTTGTTCATTCAGAGTATGTACCCCTCACTTGCTTTCCCGGCACAGCCATCTTTGTACACATCCAGCACCCATCTCAGCAGCAGGGAGTGTAGTTGAATCACGGCTTGTGAGAGGTGAAATAATAACTCCTCTGAGATGCCTTTGCAAGGGATTATGGAGAGGCAGGTGAAGTCCATAAAGAGCTCTGATAGCTTTCCTTTAAAACAGACAAAGTGATGCTGATGGCAAAGCAGATCAGAACGGTGTTCTCTAGAGGAAGATTGTTTTGTTTTTCCTTTCTGAGAAGGATAGTGAAACGCTCATTCTTGAGCACAAGGATAACCTCTGAAGGCAAAAGTTCAGCACTGAAGGTGAACTTTGTTGAAAATTCCTGCCCCATAGGAACATGCACAGAACTGAAGGAATAGAATGTACATATCACACCAGCTTATCCAAATCACAAGGATATTTAATTTCCATTTCTGTAGAACAGCCGATATGCCCTGAAGTATAGTTGGGCATTTTAGTATGAAAGATTTGTCATCCTAGCTGGTTGTTTTTACCAATTAAGTTATCCCCAATGGAGACAGGATCTAAGGAGAGAGTATCTACCATTCTGGTGCAAGCAAACTCAACACCTTTGGATGGATTTGTTTTGTTTCTTCTTTTTGCTTTAGTATGTTACCTTCAGGGACTTACAAGAAATTCTGATATCGCATCTGCAAATCTTACAAGCTTTGCAAATGTGTGTGTGTGTATGTGTGTGTGTCTTAATTTATTGGTTTCAGAGTTCTGTTTCCTTTTCGGAATCATGTACTGGGTAAAATTCAGTTGCCTTTACATCTTCCATAGTCTTAGAGAAACCATAGCTTGGAGAGGAGCTTTTTTGAATGATTTAACAGCACTAAAGCCTCTGTGCAAATCAATGAGTCTTCAGGATTTTGGCAAGGTTTTATCAAATTGTACCAAGAGAAGATTTACCTGTTACTTGCTGAAAGAGGCAATTCATCATCTTGGCATATTCAAGCAATGTTATTTACAGAACAATGCTGTAGTGTTGAACAAAGTCCCTGGAACATAGGATCAGGTCCTTTGATGAAGATTTTCTCATAAAAGGGAAAGCAAATGATCAGGTCTTCCATTATGGGCTCTGCTGCACTTCTGCCGTTTTTGTTCCAAGAAATCTAAACAAACTACTCATCATTCACACCATTTTGCTTTACAGTAAAACTATTAGGGCCCGGCACATTTTGAAGACTTAAAATGAAATTATCTAGCTGAGGTATTCATGTCTGATGATGTCTTACAATTTTTGGAAGTACAGTTGCTGGCAAAAGAGAGGTGTAATCATAAATTTGGGCCCGGGTGTGGCTACTCAAGGGATGCTGGGAGACCAGAATCATACTGTCCAATACAAAAATTCAGGCTGGATCTGTATGTGCAATGGAGTGAGGTGGTAGAGTCCTGAGATTAGAGAATTGACTGCACTACTTCAGACTGGGGAGGGGTTGTCACGTTTTTAATACTGTTTTACATTTTTTAAAAATCCAAACTCTAGAATCTCGTATAGCAGAGAGTGGGCTAAGCTAGAACCTACTCCTTGACTTGCCAGATTTCTGCTTGTAAGGTAATTTCTCAAATACATGGATTTTTGAAAAATGGTATTCTTTACCCGCAGTTTGAAATGGTTCTGCGTCATGTATAAACCTGACCTTAACTTGCATGTATGCAGCTGTCACTGGAGAGATCTTTGAGCTGTTATCAAATGGGTATGTAAAATGAAAAAGAAAGGCAGTTTTAGGTCAAGAAGTACTAGCATCATATTTGAGTATCCCTTATTTTCTGTAATTGTTGACCCCCATTGTATTTTATGACCCTTTTCATCTAGTGCAAATGACTGAGACAGGAGATCCTAGAATCCAAGTGTTGCCAGATTCCACACAAGGGAGGAGACTTGTGTCATTAGGAATTGAATGGAAGGAAGAATTTTGGCAAATTCAATTCCCACCACCACAACACTACAGTAGGAGAAAGTTCATTCAGCTGAAATTTTTCTTAGAAGTATTAAAGACAGAAAAACTTGTTGGTGACTTGCTTTTCCCTTTATGCTGGACTTTTCTGCTACCTACTTATAAATTTCTCCTTTGTTATGCAAGACACCGTTTCTGATTTTTACAGCGTACCTTTCTAGAAAGGATAATTATCGGTACGGTGAATAGTTTAAAACCACATAACTGGTTCTCAGAACCTGCAGTTTACTTACTTCTTGCATCTAAAAATGGAGATAAAAACATTTTTTCATTTTATTCATTAGGATCTAAGATCAGCCAATGGAGAAAAGTGGCTTCAGTCTGAAGCTAAAGTTAACTGAGCCTCAGAAGGACCCATATCCTCCCATTGCCACCATGTTGTGTAGGATGGATATTTGGCCTGTGGAAGGAGCTGGCTTTTCCTAAGGAAGCCTCTGTTGACAACCCCTTTTCAAAGGCACAATACTGTGGTCTGTCTTTAATAATGTCCAGAGATGTGAAGACCCTAATTTTTTTAAGCATATCCATTTATTTTGTGTATTTTTGGTAGGGGTCAGAAAATTGACATACCTTTTCTGATCAGTTATGGAAAGGGCTGGTTTTCTAGTGCATGGACAATTTTTTAAAGTGATGTTAGGATGAATGTAAGATGAATGTTGGATGAGTTGGAAAAGAGCTCTGAGTGATGAGAATACTAACAGTTCCAGAGTACAAAGATGCAGATGTGTGGGATTGTAGCCTTTACCTTTGCTACCATCCTTGTGCTAACCCTGAGCCAGTCCCTTTCAATTTAATGGATGGGAGGGTCAATTGTGCTGCAGCGGGTTTGCTTGCAGTATGGGTTTAAAGCTGCTGCTGTTCACAACTTTATTTATTTATATTTTTTGTAAATGGGGCTAGAGGAGTGTTCCCATGCTGGCTTAGCACAGCAGGAGGAGGGTATAGCCAGCATGCATTTTACAAAACTGAAAATGTGTTAAAAGTGCAGTTTATTACTGATTGTTTTCATGGTAGGCTGTCTATGCCCATGATCCTCCCACCCGTGTAGATCCTGTGATAAACTAGATATTTTTGAATAGTGTGCTCAAATGTGGAGTGGTAAGAGAATGGCTGGGTGATGTTCCCTGACTTGTGTGCACCAGAAGCAAACAATTGCAATAGTCCTTTGTGGCCTTAGAATCATGATTCCATGGTTTATTTATTGATCTCAGTTCAACTGACAGTCTTTCTCCCCCACCCCAGCCCTTTTCCTTGGCCTTTAAGAAGAGGTGGACATGTGGCAGCACCCTGCATTTCAGTGGAAACGTAAATCAGAAGTTTCTTAAGTTACTTCCATGCCATCATCATCCCCCCAGTACTTGTCTGTAGGTATGGAGGACTTCCATGTCCATGACTGCAAGTGTCCAACAGTGGGTGCACTCACTTGCAGCGCTATCCTGGCAGAAGCAGTGCTTCATGGCTGGAATATTGTGGTTGGCAGCATCATATGATCATTGCAGTTGTATAATCAAGCCTGTGATGATCGCATGAAAGATGTTTCTTGCAACTTGGCTGCTAGTGGTTCCACATCCACTGTGCACAGAAGAACCACGTGGTTTTGTAGTGCTGTGTTAAATTCTCAAGAATGTGGTTGTCTTCTCTCACAGAGGAAGCCTAGGCCCACACCGTGGCATAACCCTTTTCTGATGCTGTTTGATTGTATTTATTATGTATGCTTGAATCTTTTCCCACCTCTGCTCCTTTATTTCCCAATGGGAAGACCATCCAAAGGAAGCACTGGTTTCATTTCACTATATTTTTCCATTCACTTTTCTGAATAAAAAGAATTTTAAAACATTGGCAAAAGAAAAGGCCTTTTATTTTTAATTTCTGCGGATATGAAAGTGGGAGGGGGAAAACCACTTTTCAGAGATATGCATTGCAATGTATCACATGGTAGATGGGAAGAGGTGACTAACTGCAATCCTAAGAACACTTTTCTGAGACTTGCTTCTGAGTAGACCTGCTTAGGATTGCTTCCTTGTCCACTACTATCGAGAAGGTAAGTGTGATGTCATAGTACTATACAAAGGCTTTGTTAAACCACATGGAATCTTAACTTGGCTTTGGGGAGACAGCAGGTTTCTGTATAAGCTTTGAAATGCTTAGGCAGTGAGCTCTCAGAAGCAAGAAAAAAGGGCAGAATGGAACTCCGTCATCAAGGTGAGCCTTCAGTGAGCCTACAGTTCTTTGCATAGTTCTTTGTTCCCTTCCCAACTTCTGGTAAAGCAGATTTATTTTTATTAAAATGTCTGCACCAATTTTCCCCTTATATGGGTTCCAAGGCAACTTACAAATCATCAATTTAAAAAAATTGAAAAAATGCATAACACCACTACAAAATTGAAAAGGAGCTTAAAAGCAAGCCTGGAGTAACACAACATGCAGATTGCCACAATTTATTCATTTATTTATTTTATTTGTGGCCTTCCTGTCTCACTGAGAACCAGGGTGGATTACAAAATATGAGAATGAATACATTATGTATTGTTTTAGCTGGCATAATATAGTTAACATTGCTGGGTTTGGCATTTTTGGTGGAAAGCTATCACCAGGGGTCGTTTCGTAGAAAAAGAGCTAGGGGAACTCATTAGCATAACTCCTTAGCATATGCCACACCCCCTGACATCACCGGAAGTGTGGCATAAGGCCACACCCACCCCTCAGTTTTAGTCTTAAAGGTGCTATTTGAACTCTTGGACTATTTTGCAGCAACAGACTAACACAGCTACCTCGGAGAAGCTCCTGGATGGGGCTGGGAGTCCTTGCGGAGGCCTCGTGGAGTGGCCTCGGCCAGGCAGAGGGGGAGGACGCCAACTTACCCTTCTGCTTCTTCCTCCTTTTGCAACAGAATGAGGCTGGAAGCAGGGGGCGGCCGGAAGAAGGGGGCGGGGCTTCGTTGTGTGCCCCCCCGCACCTCACCCGGGGGAACTGTGATCCCCCGCGATTCCCCCCGAATCGACCTCAGGCTATCACAATCCTGGATCAGATCTAAGAGATCCCTAAAAGTAGGGCTGCTTGCTGAGAGAATAGGGACAACCGCAACAGATGCTCCATACCTGAAAATCAGGGTCAGGCCCTCAAGATGGCTATGTGAAGGAATGTAAAGGAAACGTTTTGTGGTGTGTGACTGCTGCAGAGTGGCAGAGGTCTGCTGGGTGTATTGCAGTTCACTCCAAATGGAGTGGAAATAGAAATGAGAGAGACTTACTGGCTTCCTGCTTACCCTGTGTGTGGACCATTAGTACCAGGTTGTGGCTATCTTAGCAGTGGCCCTGTCCAGAAGACTCCTGTGAACCATCCTTATATTGTGTTACCCCATTGATGCTGCTAGCTCAGTACTGTCTGTTTGGAAGGACACCAGCTTTTCAGCATATCAGGCAAGGCTTTTGGATACCAGCTCTCTGAGAGCCCTTAAGGAGAGACGCTAGGGCTTGACTCCAGCCTTTCGGTATGCAGCGTGTGTGCTCTACCATTAAGCAGAGCTCTTCTCCCTTTCACCTTTTTGTAACTTCTAAAAAAAATAGCTTCCTATACATTGCATTTTGTTGTCCTTACACACAAAGCTCCTAATTTTACTGCTGAAGTGCTGGTGGACCGCATCACCAAGGAGTGTTCATGTGCTGATTAAATTAAACACCACAGCCTAGAAGATGAATGGAACTAGGCCGAAAGGCCAGCAGCGTGCCAAGGGTGCTGGAGTTGTTACGGCCAGTGTTAAGTGTTTAACTGCAACGGGGGCATGATCTATTTATAAGAAAAGTGATAGGATCGCCTAATGCTCAGGTTGGATGTCACCTCTTTGCCTCTGACCTACTGAGACACTAAATCAATCTGAAATTCAAACCTAGGGAGAGGAGTGATTTGAACATGAATAATTTCAAGCAGGCTCTGGAGTTTGCAGCTGAGTTGATGGGGGTAGTTAATGCTTGCATCTTACCAGCACCTTCAAAGATGAATGGGAAAAAATGCTTTTTTGTGTCTGGGGTGTTCATTTGAGAAAGGGATTATGCACTATGGAAAGTATCAAACAATCACTTAGAAATGAAATGTACATTCTAAGCAATGTGGCGTTTTTATTCACAAGACATTTATAAACATTGTTTGATCCAACAGCGCCCAGAGATTTGTGGGGCCAGGTCAGAAGTACAAAATGGAGATATGTCTCCTGCCATCCTGGTTGAACATCTCAAAGCATGCTTTTTCAAAAATTTGCCACTATCCATACAAATGAGCTAGGGTGGCATAGTGGATAGAATGTTGGACTAGGAGCTGCGAGACCCGGGTTCAAATCCCCACTCTGCCATGGAAGTTTGCTGCATGACCATAGGACAGTCACATACATTCAGCCTAACCCATCTCTCGTGACCTTATTGTGAGGATAAAATGGAGGGAAGAACAATATAAACCTCCTCTAGTCCCCATAGGGGAGAAAGTCAGGGTATAAATAAATGACGTTTTAAAAAATATGCTAGGTCAGTGTTTCAGAACAGGATGCCAGTCACTAGGAGAACAAGCCACCCAGAATTTTTATTCCATGAGGACAATGGACCTGAAGGATGGGGGTGGGGTGGCACTAGAGCCAGGAAAACCAAGTGGGGTATGCCCTTTTTTGCTCCGTTCACTGGCCAGATAAGGAAAATGAGCGTAGTTAAGAAGGCGCAGTTTTGCTGTCACATATAGAGAGTCCTTGTCAGCCTTCATGTCTACTGAGTGTTCTTCAGTGTGCGCTTATTTATCTGTTTGGAGTTTTTGCCTTCCATTTTATGCAGACTAAGAACAGGTTATAATGGATATAAATGCAGAGTATCTTTCAGAGACTTTGGTGGCTCCTCCCAAAAGATGAAGTGCCATCACATCCGGCAATAGGACGTCTATGGGCTAGTTTGTATGTAGGCATCTTTTGTATGAACTAAGGCCTCTGCATGGCTGCTGTCGCACATCTGCCACAATCTCAAGTGAAAGGACTTTAGGTAGCAAGTATTAAGGTGAGAAACCAGGTAGAGTAATCTGCACCAGCTAAATGGTCTGACTCCATAGAAGGCAGCTTGATATATACTTGCTTGGAGAACCATTGGACTGGATCCTTATTTTACAGTCAGTTCAACCAAGATAACCTTGGTCACATTGTTATCCTTCTTCTGAGGAGTTCTTGAGTCATGCACATGGTTCTTTCCTCCGCCATATTGTCCTCACAACAACCTAAGAAGGAATGAGTGGGTCAAAGGTCACTCAGTGAACTTCATGGCTGAGTAAAGATTGAACTTCCTAGGTCCCAGTCCAGTGTCTATGGCACCACGCTGGAGCTCTACATGTCTTTCAGTCAAACTCAGAAAAGCAATGAGATTTATATGAGATGAAGCAGTCCCTTGCTTATATAGGCCTGGGACATTTAAAAATATATTTGCAGTGGTTGCATTCTGTTCTTCCTTTGAGTATATCGCAGAACAGCATTTTAGCCTTACAGCCACCTGTGGACTTTATAAATCAAAATTAGTGCTGCAAGTTATGCCCAGGCCAACAGACTGGAGAAAGCCAGATAGACCCTCGGCACTGGTGTGATGTGACTTGCCCTGTTGATCACATCATTTTACTCTAGCTTCAGCCTCTAAACAACTTCCCAGTACTTTGCATAGAGAGTTGCCAGACCTAACGCAGAACAGTTTTCAGTGTTCAGTATTCTTTAACTGTAGCTGAATTCATGGGACTTCTTATCATTAGGGAAGTTATTCATACAACCAGTCAGGAAAATGAGAAAACTTGATGGATGGAGTCCACATATGAATCCTTCACCTCTACTTAAGGAACCCCCAATTACTACTAAAAATTGTGTTTCGAGAGGTCAAAGCACAATGGTTCCAAACTGAATGTCTACCAAAGGTGTGTGTGTGTTGGGGGGGTGTTAGTTTAGTGCCCTTTAGCTGGTAGCAGTTTCCAAAATCAAAGGGTGGAAATGCTGGTGGGAAAGCTGGTGGAAATTTTCCACTGGAAGAGCATGACAGATGGGAACAGTTTGGAAGACATTGTCATAGCCTGGTCTTCTCAAAGCACAACAGTCCTGTTTATGAAATGGTGTACATGGCACAATCAGCAGTAAAATGCAGGAGATAAGGAGGGTTGTCAGATTCAGAAAGGAACCTGTGCTTCTAATAGCTGGAACGATGGGAGAATTTTAGCTGCTCCCCCATGCAATCAGAGAAGCTCCACAGAACAACCTTTGCTTTCCCGCAAACTCTTTAAAGCCTGAGAGCTCTGATGCCTTCTGAATGTGACCGTTTTAGAGGCAGAGAGCCCGAGCAGAGCATAATAGCATCTACAAGAAATTTGCCTACAAGAACTGGGAAAGAGACCCTGTTTGGAGCTGGGCTTGAGATGGATGGTGCCACTTTCAGCAAGTTTCATTGAGCTCCTGAGTTTACTGAGCTAAAAATAACAGCATTGCAAAATGAAACCCTCCATGTTTGAGATAGTCTTCCATTGCAGAGCATGAGCAGAGAGCAATCATGTCTGCACATGTGCTCTGAGGGAATATGAGTGTGACCCATTCCTCAGCATGTGGCTTAGCACACAGTTGACACATTCTTTCCACTGAAGGTATATCATAAGAGTTGTGGTTTTCCACCAGGATGTCAGCTCATGTTGCTGCTAAAAGGGTCTACAGGAAATGCCAGGAAAATTTAGGACTGAGGGCTTTTTTTAACATTACAATATACTTTTCATGAATTTTGCTATCTGTGATATCAATGAGATAATCAGGTGAGCATTGGGTAAAAGAGCAAATAGTATGAAAGTGCAA